GGGGACAAAATATTATGCTTAGAATAAAGAGTATCTCTTGCTTATTTTGTACATGCAATTTCTTGACATAAATTTCTCATGGCATTTGTCTTTCCTGTGTTTTAAACAAAAATAGCACAGGACTTTTACTAAGAATCTTTTGCTGTGAATTCCTGTCCAAACAGATTATTATATGCTGAATGAATTCTGCTCTTTCTGCTGCAGTGAAAGCCTAAAGAATAAGGCACGAAAGATAGGTGACAGAAGAAACATTTCAGATGCTTTATTAGTTTATTAAAATCTGACAAGCGGGTAGGGCTAGAAATAGCTTCACAGATGTCACTTGGCAGTATATCAGGCAGCTCTTTCCTTACGCGTTCTGTACACTATCCATCAAATATGCCAGCCAATGGCAGCTTACAAAAAAGGAAACGGTAAGCATCAATTCAGCTTACTGGAGGCTCTGAGGTTAGACGTCAGTGCTGCACTGTGCACGGCTGAGTCAGTGGCTGTGAGAAAATGAATTGAAATAATATCTTGGGGGCTTACCTCTCTGAGCACTTAATGGACTGAAAAGCTGTAACAAGAGTGTTACCCTTGAAATGGGAGAAGAAAGGAGGATGCTAGAAAATGAGGCTGATAATGCTGTAGAGTATTGAGAGGAGAATGGAAATAACAAATATGCTGAACTTAGCAAGTAATGCCAGAGAATGCTGAACTGGCTTCTAAACCTGCAGGCTGGAGAGGAGCAGCAGATTTCTTTTGTACTTTGTTTTCAACCTTTTCTCCATGTTTTTGTGTTCCTACCCTTTTCTACCCAAAAAGCAGGTGCGTATCTGTTAACAAATCTAATACAGTTTTCAGAACTTAACTTGAGAAGGAAATATATAAAGGAGAGGGAATAGTTCTTTGTGTAATTGATCTCTTAAAATATTTATATGATAAAAGAGAGCTTGTGTGACCACGGATTTAAAATAGCAGCTATAATATAAATAAAAATATTATTGAGCAGAAGCTGAATTGAGCAAAAATGGAAAATATATGAAATAATGTATTTAAAGTTTTGATGATTGTTTAGCTTTTGTTAGATTTTTTCCCCTCTATTTGTGGTCTTCTAGGCCAAGAATTTATAAAGGTAGCGTTTAAAGTTTCAAGTTACACTCTGGTTGCTTTAATAAGGAAGTAAAAAGATGGTTCCTGAGTGTAAGATGCAAGTTATGTCATATCATCCTTATCTTATTCAACAGTATGAAAATAAATCATATCTTTCTAGAGTTTACTTTTTAGTTTCTGTTAATGACGTTATGCATTTTTTCAGCTGTTATTGGTGACGCTTAATTTATTGATTTGAATAGTTAGAAAAAAATGACAGTGTCATAATACAGAACTACTCCATAAGAGCATTTCTGAAGTTGTATGTATGTATTTTATCAAGACGTTTCTGCTGTATGTGATTGGTTGACCAGTAAATTATTATCAGCAAGCCACATTTCAGATTGCTTTATGGAAATAGCTTGGATCAGCAACCCCCCCCCCCCCCCCGCCCAAAAAACAATCTGAAGATCCTGCTATATAGTAGCAACATTGTATTATAACAACAATATATAGAAGTTGAGCAAGGACATCACTTCTGTAGATTGAACTTAGAAGTCTGGGCTACAAATCCCTGTGTATTATTAGAGTATTATAATTATATAGAGGCTTATAAAGTATTCTGCCTGGATTTATAATTAACATGGGTTTTTTAGGGGGACAAAGTGAGAAACTGAAATCTAATCTAGCAGAATAGTCTGTTTAATAAACAAAACTAAAATGAGGCAAATAATTTAATATGTTTTATAAATATCTCAAAGGTTTACTTTTCTCATTAAACAAATGTAACAGAACTGAAATATTTGAGGAGAATGGGAAATCATAGCTCATTTACTTGGATATAAATATTCAAGTAAAGCAAAATTTTATTTGGCAGTATTTTTTCTTGGAATGAAATGTCCATAAACACAAATCACTTTCAGACACTACATCTTTTAAAAGTGAAGAAAAAAATAAAGACAATAGTAGCAGTTGACTAATAGGAATTTGACAAAAGAAAGGAATTATGCAAGATAAGATCAAAACCTAATGGGGAGGAAAAGTTGAGTAATGCAGCTGGTTGAACTTTATATTATAAAGCTGCTATTTTAGTGTTATTCTGTAAAATTTTCCTGTGCATTTTCATACACACATAGACACACACTATAACTTTTAGAAGGTCAGGGTGATTTAATTTCTAATATAAACATGAAATAGATTCACTTTGAAGGTGTAGTTTAGTTCTCACTAAAACAGTGAGAACGATATTTTCATTACTATTTAAAATTTTGTTTTTAGGAATCTTAAAAGTTAAAATGATAACATTGTTTGAAGACATTTCTTTTTCCCCTGCAAATTTACCCAAATCTTTTTTGGGTATGTTGTCCAGAGTCTTGAGTAAATTTGGAGGAAGAATCTGCAAACAAGAGAAAATCCATTTCCTTAATGGATGCCATTCAATTGGTTGATGAGAACATTGGTACAAATGTTTATACTATTGTTTTTGCAGAAGTTTTTGTAGCATGATTACTATCTCGCTAGAGTTTTTATCACTTGGGTAGGAAGCATTTTATCTGAGTCATGAGGCATGCTTCCTGTAGCATGTAGATATATCCAAGTATTAATATGCATGAACTTGGCTTGTGTTCGGAAATTTCTGAAGAAGATTGTGTTTCATTATGCGGGTTTTATAAGATTGCTATTGAGCCAAACCTTTCTGGAATGAGCAAAAACGGTGTGTTTCATCTAGTGCTGCGGTAAGCAGATTCTTGCTCCTGTAATTGAAGTTTCCTATTTTTTTTCTTTCTGCATCACATTTCCCTGTGCTAGAGTATATAGAACTAATTAGGTGGATGGAGGGATGGAAATAAAAAGGGGAAAATGCTTACCAGTTCTTACATCAGTGGACAGATACAAATGGATTTCATATATGTGTAGAAATAGGTGCAAAATGTCTACTTACTTGGTGAAAATATTCCATTTCACATGACTAAATTGCAGAGTTTTAAAGTTATCTTTTTATTCCCTGCTTTAGAGTTTGAGATTATTATTTTTTTTATCAACTAACACTTCTCCTTAAGCAACTTATAGGTTCGGAAAATGACTTCAAAAGGAAAAGGATGAGAAATAATAAAATACAATATAAGTTATTTCAGTATGCTTTCCCATTTTCTATTTCTTTTGGGTGGAATATGGGGTTTGCCGTTTCCTCCTTTCTAGGACAGTATCCTAAGTTCTGTGTACCTATAGACAATTGAGACTGTAGTGATATTGATCCCAAAGTCTAATGCAGGGGTGTCAAACTGCCGGCCCACGGGCCGGATGCGTCACACCAAAACCACGCCCACCCCATTGCCAGCAATGAGGAAAAAGTTGCAATATGTTGCGACACATCACGTGACGTTGTGAGTTTGACATCCCTGGTCTAATGGATTCTATATAATTGAGCTGCTCAGTAGGATAAAAACTGCTACTGCTGCACTTCATGTGGCAATTCTAATTTTTTTTCTAAATGGATCTATTCTTTGAATACATTCACTTTCTCAGAAGTGGCTTTTTTTTTGGGGGGTCCTGAATTGTATTGACTGTTTGGATATTACTGTAACCAATTTCAGTAGTTTTGAAACATAGTATGTGGATTACAGTGGCTTTGCCAATCTCCATGCCTTCTAGTTGTGGGCTTTGTGTACATCTGTGCGTCTTCGGTTGTAGAAGGCCATACGATGTCACAAGAATGGTGTTTTTTTTTTATTCTGTTAGTACTGTATAAGAGGAAAAATTGCAGGTACTCTTCGTATTGTTGGTTTTAGTTGGTTTAATAGAATGTTACCAGGCCAAATATGATTTTAATGTTCTAGTTCAGGGGTGTCAAACTGCTGGCCCGCGGGCTAGATGCGTCATGGTGAAACCACACCCACCCCATTGCCAGCAATGGGGAAAAAGTCGCAGTACGTTGCAGCACGTGACATTGCGAGTTTGACACCCCTGTTCTAGTTGATTAGCACTTTACTTTGATATTAAGCAACTAGTAAAAATGTTAGTTCTATGTAGTCTGAAATATTCATCTAGTTTTGATTTTTTTCAATTAGAGCAGTTTGAGACCGGTTTAGTCCTCGACTTACGACCGGTTGGGGGTCGCGGCATTAAAAAGGTTGAGAACCACTGCTGTAGCCAAAGAACTTTGTGTAGCTTTCATATTCATCTGTAAAATATAAAAAAATCTCAAAATAGTTAAAAGATAATAAGCCTGGTTGGTAATATATAACAATAATATATGACAACAATTAATATTTGAAAGACTGGAGAAAGAGGGAACCATTCATATATGGACAGTGTCAGACCGTTTCATAGGAAAGACAAGTTTTTTTGATCCCTCTCCCCTTAGCTCCATAAGGGTTGAAGAGATACAACATGCAATCACAGTTCACATGTTAGGACAGATTCTACCAGGAACATATCATCTTATAGGTAATAATCAGCTTTTGAAATATCCTCAGAAACCTATTGGCAGCCAGTACACTGGTTAAAATTGAGTTATTATTTTGTGAAACAGTTTTCACCTGTTTGCACGTGGACTAACACTTTCTGTGCACACTTTAGAATCTTAATCAGAAGGCAATCTCATGACCCAGGATGTTGCAATCATTGAGATGTGATGCAGCATGAGTTCCTGACAGCCTTCAGGCATCCGATCCGGACATCCATTGCATTTCTGGTTTGGCTCATTTTGTTTGCAAGGCATTTCCCAACTCCGTATGAACATGTTGTCAGGGTGTCATGAAAAGGTGAAAATCTTACCATATAAATATGACTTTCCCACAAGCAACATGCCTCTTCTAAACAGATTACTACTGAAATTGACAAAATAAACATTCACAATATAAGATCTATTTTATATTGACTACTTAAGGATTCTAAATACTATCTCATCCTGTTCACTTTTCTTCTAGTACTTCATCTCGTCTTGTTAAGGGTGATTGCAGCAAAATGAGTCTTCATGGGGCTAGTGGTGGGCATGAAAGATCAAGAGAGCGAAGAAGGTCAAGTGATAGATCACGTGACTCATCCCATGAACGTCTTGAGTCCCAGCTCACTCCATGCATCAGAAATGTTACTTCACCAACAAGACAACACCAAGGAGGTATGTTTTAGTTATTTACTTTCTAGGTTTTTTTTA